CAAATGTTTTCCTGTTAAATTAAATGTTATTAAAAGTTCTGTCAATGTTTGATTTCTCTATTGTTTACATGGAAGTTTATGGGTCGATACAAAGATATGTTCCTGATGTTATTTTGCGGTAAGGTAAGCAGATATCTGCATGTAGTAATTTTAATAACTAGGCTGGTTATTACGTTTCCTAGCTCATTTCTGTTAATCTAAGATATTACCTCCTTGCTACTTATCTGCAAAAAATGCTGTTGGGCAATGCAAACAACCAACATACCCAAACTCTGCCAAAAGATGCAGATTTCAGGAAGGAAAAACAAAGAGAGACGTCAGAACAAATGGTGGCAGCCATTGCAGAAACGTTGACTTCGAATTCTCGCCTCGGAATACTAGGCTTCGTGGCTTCGCCTGGGCAATAGTTAAATAAAAGCGAGTCGTCTAATTTCGCTGCAAGCGGCGACCTAGCGATAAAATGAGTGTTTGTAAACATCGTTTACTCCGCCATTTTGAATTCTCAGGTAGGTTACCGCTGTACACCCGTTCCCCGTTCGCCGTTCCCCATTCCCCGTTCCTCGTTCTTCGTTCTTCGTTCTCCGTTACCAATTTTCGTAACATCTTTCTGAGAAAACCGGAAGTACTGTTTGATTTGCATATAATTTTCTAAGCCCTCCATTTGCTCACGGTGTATATTTTACAATGTGCATCGCAACAAAAGACCAGGTAAGCTATGGATCATTACACTTTCATATCGGCCCTGTCAAGGGGCGACGCAAATTTAGAGTCTTTGTCGAGCTGATTTAGTGAAACAGGCTTACTTTAGAGTGTCTCATAATTTTGCAGCGCCATGGTTATCGCGAAGCAGAAATATTATTGTGGTCAGAAGGAGCATCATGCCACCCTTCATAACTTACTGTTCAAAGAATCTAGAACCTGCAATTACTAATATAATATCAATTAATCTATCATTGAAGCACAGATACATTCTTATGCCGCCGTAAAAGTTTTGAATAGCGTATCGAATTAACTGCCTTTCGACAGAAATGAAAGGGTAGCCGTAGTTGATTATCACCTTTGGTTAGAAGTTTGGATTCTCGTATTGGGGTGGAATTCGATTTTGTTTAGTTAAAAAAAACATTCAAAAGAAAGAAAAAAGCGAAATTTGGGAATCACGTTGAATTGGTAGTTTATTGATGGGCATTCGCTCGCGAACTCACGCGATTGTAATTTTAATCAATTGATCATGATGTCAAAGTCGTTTTTATCGTATTCTTCGATCATCAGCAATGGACAAACTCTAGGTTCCCTTTGCTATCGGCAAGGTGAAAAAGCCTACTTCCTCAGTTTTAACTAGGTCAGTGAACCTTCGTCAGGTTTAGTTTTGTATAGCATTTGTATTGTCGTTTTCTATTATTTAAATTCGTTCGAGTTTGCCGACAGTTTCGACAACGGAAGCCGAAACAAGCAACCAAAATATTCGAATGCACCTATAGTGTAGAATTTAGAACGCGAAAGAGAGATCAAAATCTTTAATAATGTTTTTTTTTTCCTCTGTTTTTTTTACTGAAACGGTTGTAGTCAGCGAGGTAAATTCAGAAACGGTTTTGCATCATTATTATGCATGTCGAAAAATCAGCCAAGTGCCACTCTGCAATAATTTTTTGGGAGGCGATGTCACGGAATCTTTCCCCTGTTGCACTGATATCAGTTTAATTCTTGGCGATCGACACGGTCATCGCTTCACAACGAGTTGCACAGCAAAACTAACAAACGTTTCCTACCAACAACGGGTAAGAATAGGTTAATTTGAAATTCTCGCTGGATTGGTGGCTCGACAAACCGACTTTTGTGGGATTTTTTTCGATGAACTTCGCTCCGACGAAGGGCTAACGCTCGAAACGTCAGCTTTTCTAATCGTTACGGTGGCCAATTTACCACTTCAACTTTGTTGATATATCCAAGTTCTTTCATTCACAACACTGAGAAAATATCGGGACCCAAACGATCCATTAAGATCACCGATCACGGATTGGGTAAGTCCGCCAATGTAATCTATTGCATAACTTGCACTTATTGCAAAAAGATATACATCGGCGAAGCAGGCCGAAGACTAGATGACCGATTCCGAGAACACCTTCGCGACGTGGAAAGGAATGACAGGGACACATCGAAACCAGTCGCTAGACATTTTAATTTACCTAATCATTTTGAGCAACAGATGGCAATCTGCGGTCTTTCCTTACACTTACTAGCACGGAAAGCCGTAAAACTCTTGAACAAAAGCTCATGTTTCAAACCGGCAGTCTAAATCCCACGGGTATCAACGAACGCTTTTTATTCCACTGATTTTTTCGTGTTTTTCTCGTTGCCATGTTCCCACCAATAACGTAGCTCCATTTTCTGCCACACACAACCCACAATTCCTGTATTCTCTCCGACGAAGGGCTAACGCTCGAAACATCAGCTTTTGTAATCTTTACGGTGGCTAATCTACCATTTCAACTATGTTGATATATCCACATTATACTTACGACTTCACCTAGAGTGATAACTCAAAACTTTAACAGTTCAAACCAGTAAAGTCTCGTACACTTTTTTTCCTAGCTGACCGTATCACTTTTATCACAAGTACCGTAAAATCTCAAACCAATTCTTTTTCAACATAATAATTAAGAGAGTCATGCCCTTGCAGTTTTTCCCGAGTGAGATCGGTGGACAGTGTTTACACTGTTATGAAATCCGTCACTCTCTCTAAGCTGATTATCGACGAATAAGATTTGCAATGTAGGATTTTAGAAACGGTGATCTAGAAAGCGTGACATGGTTGCTTCAACTTGATCTACATTTTCGTACATTTATATTGCTTTTGGATGATAAGTGAGAACAGACAAAAGATACACGCTTGTGTATGAAAACGTTTCATTGCGGAAAAGAACTGATAATGTCTTAACTAAAATAAAGTACATAACAAAGGAAGACAGGACTGGAGGAAAAAAAGAAAAGCTTCATATTCGGGTTCTGTAATAACTTTCTATGTAGGATAACTCAGCTCGCGCAAATGATGAACACTAAATGCTGATCCCTTTTAAATAATTGATAGCGTTTTCATCACTGATGCATCAGACAATGGCACAGAATGAGACGGGAAAAGAAGATAAATCAGCTCTGACGAAGAAACTTCGCGATTTCTTCGAAAGGTACGTCAAGATTTCTGAGGAAGACACGGCTCGCACCAAAAAATTGGTCAAAGATTATATTGAAAACCTGATCATGGTGCACTGTCGAGAGAATTCCAAGCTTCAGATAAAAAAACTGGAGTATACTGGCAGTTTTTACGAGAGGCTGAAGACCAAATATGCTGATGAAGTAGATATCATGGTGGTAATGGGAACGCCAACTTCAAAAATTGAGGTTTCCAAATCCGAAGTGCCCGGTTATGTCCGCCTTGTGGAAAGAGAATGCCCTGTGTTAGGAAAGTATGCCCTGCCTAAAGGGTATATTAGCCCCGACCGCATTCGAAATTATTGGTTCAGTCTCGTTCACCGAGCAGTGAATTATATACGTCTGAACTATAAATCTGAATTTCGTCTTGTTGTACGTAACCACGGACCAGCTGTCCAGTTGGACTTTTTAACAGAAGAATCAGCTGAGAAATTTTTATCAGTTGATCTCGTTCCTTGCTTCCAAGTTTCCAATTGCTACTATGTGCCCAAGCCTCTGAAAGGCAAACGATTTTTCCCTTACAAGGCGCGCCTTTGGAGGCAGTCATTTTCGTTGAAGGAGAAGGAAGCCTTGGAGTTCATGGACAGAGAAGACCATGGCTGCAGGCACGAGTTCCTCCGAATTATGAAGACCATGGTGAAAAGACCGCAGACATCTTTACCACTGGATTCCTATTACTTGAAAACGGCCTTTTTACATTACCTTAAGAATGGAGACCTAGATTGGGTGAGTAAAGACGCGTTGGGGAAGCATTTCCTTAATTTTCTAGGGGCATTGCAAATTTATATGCAAATGAGAAATCTTCCTCACTACTGGGTAACTGGTGCAAACCTTTTGGACGATTTCAAGAGAGGTGTTGTCGAAAAGATGGCAAATCGTTTGCGAAGGATTCTGGAAAGCGACGAAAGGCTAAACAAAATTCTTGAATAGCTTCGACAACTCTGACTGTCTTTTTCGCGCTATCAACGATAGTACCATTTCACTCAATTCCAACTCCAAATTTGTTCGGTAAAGGGCCAGCTATAAACCGAAAAGAATCATTTTTCATAGAGATTTGATTCGTGGCTGACTTACCACATCGTTATAATCTTCAACTATGACTACTGAGTAGTATGAACGCAATACTCTAGAAGTTGTAGTTATTTACAGGGCAAGTGGACGCTGAAAGCTAAAATGTGTTTGACAAATTACGTGTTGACCAACAAACCAGGTGACCAGAAACATTTCTTCACGTTGTGAGACCTTCCTTGATAGCAAACAAGGAATTAATAATGGTCATTATTAAAATGTCCGGCAGACATTCAGAGCACTCTGATTTTTTGTACAGAAATTTCATCCATGGAGTTTGGATCCCTAAATTCATTGTTAAGCCAAAGTAAAATATCTGCAAAACACAGGGGATGTGATAGCAATATTTGAGCTGCATATCGAGTTCCCTTTTGCTGACTATTGCCTCTGATGGGAGGCGAAGCCACATTTATCGTCGAAATGGGTGAGTGATGATAAAATTATAATTCCGTCGATCTTGACTCGATATTTCCCGGTGCTAGTTACTGTATCTCTTCAGATTTTCTGGTAAAAACGGTAAAATGTCCCCTCTTCAAAGAAAAACAATTGTCCTGTAAGTTTTTATGATGTACTGAACACACATATTGAGATAAATATGCATGTAAAAGCTTTGTTTTTCACATGCCATCCTGAAATTATTGTGAGATGTTTATTATCTTATGTAGTACCTCGAAGCAAACAATAAAAGGTCAAAGTATTGCACATTTGAGAAATCTTCTGCACATCATCGCTAGCGAAAAGTTTTGATATTAAATTAAACTGAAATTGATTTCCCCATATGGCGCATTTCGGAATTATAGGTGGAAAGTTATCCAGAGCTGCCTCAGTTGTCATCTTCTACTAACCAGACCCAAAACTAATATATTACCAACAGACCCTCTTTTAAACAACAACAAACATATGAAACATATGTGTGAACTGCGGTTATGAAACGTATATATGCACGATCCTTCGCAGTAAAGCACTATTTGAGCAATAGTGAAAATCAGACCTGAAAAGGTCTGATTTCAGGTCTGATTTTCACTATTGCTCAAATAGTGCTTTACTGCGAAGGATCGTGCATATATAAGACCCTCTTTTTTCCGCAAAGTCCGCGAGAAGCTCTCAGTGCAGTGACGTCGATGCGCTGCGGGAGCTCTATGAGTGAGGCCTTCGAAAAGTAGGGACTACCGAATAAGCTCAGGGTTATGACCTTGCATGGCCCAGCAATTTTCAGTCTTTTCAGGCCTCAATTTTTATCTCAATTCGGTGTAATCAATGAGATTCCTTATCTTGATTACAAGTCAATCTTCATGTCATCGCAACACACAGGTGATCTCAGAAAATTAAACCATTTCAAATTTCGAGACGCACGATAAACTGGAAATCTATAAAATGTAAGGATGAATCCAACAAAAAAATTCCTTAGAAGATAATTAGGAATGGAAGGCCGGTTAAGGAACAAACGCGGAATGACTGTACTTTTGCCGTGTGGGTGCTTGTAACTTGTCTTCAATGATAGCATCCATGCAATCTTTGTACTTTTCCGAGAATTGAACGGCTGGAATGTCAACTTCGTTTAGTTCCCTGACTTGTTCCATCCCTATGTTTTTCACCAGTTCCAAGCCTTTCACTGTCGTTTTCGCTGCCAGACCCCTCTCGTATTTTTGCGTCAGTCAAAATGGCGTGCGTTCAGGTGTATGAGTGTTCAACGCCGTTTTCCAGCTTCGGATTTACAAAATTTACTTCATCATGATTGCGGCTCATGTTTTAATAGTAAGTAGAATTCGTAGCGTACACTTTTTTTTTTTTACAGAATTTGTACCTGGGGCTCTTGTGTAAAAATTATGTCTCGTCGCTCTGTAAGGTGTCTGTATAAATTTGCAAGAATTTTTGAAACTCTTTGTTCCCAGCTACCATTTCTTCCGTTTCAACTAGGCCCTCGGCAAGTGTAAGCGACCACGGTGAAGCAGTGTCGTTAAAATTTTGGAGCGATGGGAACTGATACAGATGTAAGACTTCTCGTGAACATACGCAGATAACTAGCACATTTTGAATTTTCGCGGGAGATATTTTACGCTAGGATGAAGCAACAGAGCGGGGCCTGCAGAAGAATAAGGCCTCATTTAAATGGAACACACCATTCTTCAATGGAACATCCCAACGGGAAATTTCCGAATTTTATTGTAAATGGTAAACAACCCTCCACACACATTTTCGAAATTCTTGCGAAACAAAACATTTGCTAGGTAGCGCTCTTTCCGAAGTTGGTTGGCAAAACTGCGAGAACTTCTTTGCCATCGATGAGAGCTTCTAGCGCCTCAGTCAGGAAACGAATTGTCAGAAACTGCAATAAACATTTCTGCAAGTCGTCAGCCATATCTGATGCATTGACAAGCATTGACAAGCATTGACACATATGATTGCTTGTTGACAGATTTCCGGCCGATAGCCCATCACATTTTTGCGTTGTGAGTGCCTTACTCGTGGAGCTCCCACCGCGCATCCAAGTCATTCCAAGAGTTCCCCGTCACGCTAACATCATATTTTTCACTAATATTTTTTCACGCAACGGAATTCGCTGAAAAGCGAGGAATTCTCGTGATTCACAAAACTAAAAACTGTTGCAACAAATTGAAGTCTTTCAGAAATCTCGCGAATATGGCAACTTATGACACATAACTGTATTTCCTTTATGTCAGTGATTTTGCCTAGTCCCTAGCAAAATTTTCCTTTATTCTGATTCGGCATTGTTGTAACTTTTCTTTTTTCGGTTTAACGAATCTGGTCGAAAGTGCCCTAACTGAAATAGTTCAAACTTTCAACATATGCAATTCCGCTGCAGTAGCGCAAGAGACCATATAGATGCGACACGTTTTGAACTTCAGCGATCATGATACAATGGAGGTTCTCTAAAAGTATACATATATATTCTTCATCTTGTATGTTGGTGTCCCGCACGAGGTACCGGTAGAAATTCCAGCCTTCTCTGCCATCGGTTGTCTTCTTAGAACGACTGTTGCATACCGTAAGCTCTGTTGATTTCTCCAGAAATTTCTGTCTCTAAGTTGTCGCATCTTGTAAATTTTCCATCAAACTCGTGGGCTGTGGCGAACGGAAGAGAAAACTCTCAGCTTTTTTAGTTCATTAATTTTACTAGTTTGTAAATTTTGTCTTTCGGACGATCGAGATGATTTATCGAGCACGTGTTAGAAAGAAAAACCGGCTATGATTGAAACAGCTATGGGATCCGAGGAAAAATTACCAACGAATCATAATTCCACCTAAAATTGGAGACAGAATTGTTGACACATTGATCTTTACAACCCCCTATTACCTCAATTTTATTTCTTTTGCCCTCGCTAAGTTAAAAATTTCGCTCCCTTCCCCCCGAAAAAATGCTGTACCGTGATTGCATGAACTGTTAGCCAGTATTGGATTGGGAGAGGGGGGTCTGTCAATGATTTAGAGTACGATAGAAACAGGGCTGTCATTCTTCACTTAAATAGCACTCTTCAAACATGATGTGTCAACTGATCTTGACGTTGATAGAAGGTCTTAAAATCACCTTCAGAATAAATATCGCCTCGCTTAGGTTTTTCGTAGGAAATTTTCCTCAAATCCTTAGTTTAGTGAAACATTTCCTAACATACATTTATTGCATATAACAAAGGAAAATATCTCTTACAGTTTTGACCCATGCGGTACTCATCTGTAATGGCGTCTCCTGCTTCTGCACTGAACGGATACATTCCCGTCGGTGTGTTATTAATAGCATATGACCCCACCTGAAAGTGAGCCCCTTTTATTTAAATTACTGGTAATTTAATACTTGAAAAGTTTTCCTCGGAAAAGTGTTTATTACAAGCTAGTGGAAATGGAAAATACGACGTACCATTGACGTCCCTTTTTATCTTTCTTTTTTAATTGAGAATTTTGTTGCTTTGTTTTGTTTTGTGTTATTTGTTAAAAAAAAAATACGGAAAAATACAATATTTGAAATTGTTAAGAAAACTTCATCAATGAAAATACTTACATGCTTTTTAATTCTTCCTGGCAGGCGCCGTGAAGTTCTAATTTGCACCTTCATGTATGCTATATTTGAAAATCGGTTTATGCATTCAGATAAATAATTATGAGTCCTCACCGTTCACCGCAAAAAATGCTCGAACACGACGATTTTCCACGAAGTTCTTGGGTATACATTTTTTTTTCGGTAACCTTTAATGAAGATCAAGGCCCCAGACTCTGGTGCACGTCCGCAGCCAAAAGACGTCACATGTCCTGAAATGGTAAGTCCATTAGCTTCCTCATCGTAGGTCAGCCTAACTCCTCCCTTGAGCGTACTGTCAAACCATGACTGAAGGATTTTTGTCCATCCTGATCAATTGATTGCCAAGCAATAATGGTAATGTCATTCTTAAAATCAGCATATGAATGAAAAAGGACTTAAAACTTGAATGAATTCGATACGTATGTCCAACTACTGACATGTCGCAGTATCCTAGGAAACTAGCAGTTAACCCCTCAGGCCAAATCCAGTATGTTGCGCTAATGTCAGAACCTCTATTGTCTTTATGTCCTTACAAGACTCTCCTAGTACTGTGGCTAAAGAACCTTTCGTTTCTGGAGATTAATAAAATTTTAATTTGGTCACTATATTGTAATTTTCATCTCTCTAACTATGCAAGCTGTTAACTAGTTATGATATCACTAAAACTAGAAAGCTTTGTGTGAATCTTAATAAAGAATAGGGATTTAGAAGGGAAGGGTAGTTGTCAACTGACTTGAAGAGCTCAATTTGGGATTAGAGCACAAACTACGAGTAAAAGTTTTTAAATTATCAGGTTAGTCCAAAATGTTTTGGGCTCAGCAAGACCAGTGCCATTCTGGATACTTGCCCCGGGATCCTAGAGAGCAATGAGAATGCTTGTCACTTGACTTGTAGTTCCTCAAACCCTAGCCCAACTGTAACCCTAACCCTAAACTGTAACCCTAACCCTAAAACTGTAACCCTAACCCTAAACTGTAACCCTAACATCAAAATACTGGAAAAAGGTCAATGGATTTCTGCAACCCCAACCCTAACCATTGGGTTAAGTCGAGACTCGCCATAGCTGTCTCTAAGGGTGTCAAATACCTTAGTCAAGTGATTTTAGTTGTTTTCATTATTTAGCTTAACTCTTTACTGTCCGGCAAAAAACCTTATAATTTGGCCCTACAAAACGTAAGTTCACTTTGTTTGTCTTTATATGAATTATCCCCTACAATATTTGCAGTTTTGAGACACCGTGGGCTCAGACTTTGGGGTCACGTGACCTAGACCCCTTGTGTTTGGATGCGTTCAAATCGATTCGTTTTCTCGCGTTTATAAGTGTTTTTCGAGCCTTTTTCCCCCTACAGAAGCCCTCAGGACAGCATCATTTAGCTGGAATGTGGGTAGAGGCAAGCCTCTGAAAGAATTCAGAGGTGAGAGGTGGTTTCATGTAGACTGGACCGCCAAAATGGTTTCATGCAAGCTTGGTGAGTTCACAAGTGAAGTCGTGTCTCTGGCCCATCTGTGGATGGCTACCAGGACCTACCAAGGCTTTTGGGCCAGTTTTGAGTGGCAGAAGTCTCGATCCATGTGATATTTTGCTGGTAGGACTGGGTGGCCCAACACGATTCTAATAATTTGTTAAAATGGAAAT